ATATATATATATATATATACATATATATATACATATATATATACAAATAGATAATGTGCTATATAAATATACCATTATGTTCAAATAATTCAATTTGAATTATAATAGATTATTTTAGGTGAAATAAGAAACGATATATTTTAAACGTAGATCTACCACTTTTCGCATCAGATGTGATCAGCAAGTTCATTGACCTTGAAGATGATCAACGAAGTTGAACAAAACAGAGGTGAAAAGTATTATGCTAAAAAGAATAAAATCATAGAGAACTGTGTTGTTTTTCCAACTAGTTAACATGTCCTTATTATCTACCTTTCCAAGATGTGTTATTAAGGGGCTGATTTCATAATTGTGATTTTTAAATTGTATCTATAATATTATTTATGATGGTGTAAAAGAACGGATAGGTCACGGTACAGAACTGTACTTTCTTCTATAAGTTAAATAAATCAGCCAGTATTCTTTATTTTTAAACGTAGACTGAAAAACTAGATAAACAGACCATTATCAATCTGAGGATAATTAAGTAATAACTGCAAAAGGATTAGGTTTTAGGACATTGCAATCATCCCTTGTCCATTGATAAGACACAATTAATTGCTTCTGCTGGCGATGAGATTATATAGATTAGGCCTATCAACATTTCAGTCGAATTGTTCGCAACGAATTCCCATTATGCGTCTTCTTTAATATTGACTAAATATATCAACGTCATTACCCACGTCCTACAACGCATCTGTCCCGTTCCCCATATCATATAAAAACATGCAGTCTTTTCATAATGTTTCCAGTCCTACTGAATGATTAATGCACCCGTGTTGACGATTTCACCCTTTGGTGGGCTCCTAACTCTGACTGAAATGCTAGCTCACTCCTCGCGGCAATCAACTTAAATATGATCTTTAGAGCAAAGACATTCACGAATACCCGATAATCTAATATAGGAATTGATATCAAAAAAACACTTGATAGTTTGGGTTTGTTTTCATTTAAATCAACGGCACTGGTTTGAGATACGTAGACATAACTAAATTTCGTGTAATCGCATCAAAAGCGTTATTAATATAATATAGTTTCTTTGAAATTGATAATCTCTTCCGATGTCTTATAGTAGGCCTATTCTTATGCATTTCAGTATTTTAAAGGATAATTTTGATTTGTTCTTCAATTGAGTTTAAACGCTGTGTCTCGTTTGTTACTCATAAACAAAAACAGCAACAAATAAAACCATTATCATTGTTTACGACTTGCTTCTTCTGCTGTACTTTTCAGTGTAATAATGCTTTTCCAGAACAATTAATTATAGTCAAAGATAATAAATAGCAGAAGATAGAGCAGCTTCCCAGTATAGTGGAACATCCGTTCGAAATGCATTGTGGGTACACGGAGAGAATTTTTACTCCGTCCACGCGGCGGCGCTATATATATAAATAATAAAGGCTTCGCTCTGGTTTGTTTGTTTCCTGTAGTTTCTCCACTTAGTCAAATGGTCAAATTTTACCCCGCTCGCGCGAGGGCAGATGTTTCGTCGATTTTAATGGAAATACGCGGAACAGACATTCTTCTGCTATTTAAGTTTTTTGTTATAGTACAATTAATGTAAAAGCAGATCCAGGATTTTGCTAGGTATGCCAATTTTATATATCAATAAAAATAATAACAACAATAACAACAATTATTATGATAATATTTGAGAGAACGAATCTATATTTAGGTTCACATCTATTTCAGTTTGATGCTCAAAAAATTATTGCTTATCGGTTTTTGTGT